CCAGCAGTGCACCAGGGTTCCCTTTTCCCCACAGCCTCGCCAGCATTTGTTGTTTGTTGATTTATTGATGATAGCCATTCTTACCGGGGTGAGGTTGTACCATAGTTTCTTAATCCAGCCGTCTACCGATGGGCATTTCGGTTGTTTCCAAGTGTTAGCTATTGTGAATAGTGCTGCAATGAACATAGGAGTGCATATATTTTTTCAAATTAATGTCTTGGGTTTTTCTGGATAAATACCTAATTGGTTTTTTCTGGATAAATACCTAAGAGTGGAATTGCTGGGTCATAAGGTAGTTACATTTCCAGTTTTTTGAGATACCTCCATACTGATTTCCATAGTGGCTGCACCAGTATGCAGTCCCACCAACAGTGCACCAGGGTTCCCTTTTCCCCACAACTTCACCAGCATTTGTTGTTTGTTGATTTATTGATGATAGCCATTCTGACTGGAGTGAAGTGGTATCTCATTGTGGTTTTTATTTGCATTTCTCTAATGATTAGTGAGGTTGAGCATTTTTTCATATGCCTGTTGGCCATTTGTATGTCCTCTTTAGAGAAATGTCTCTTTATATCCTCTGCCCATTTTTTAATTGGGTTGTTGTGTTTTTTTTTTGGTGTTGAGTTGCATGAGTGTTTTATAAATTTTGGATATTAACCCCTTATCAGATACCTTGTTGGCAAATATCTTCTCCTATTCAATAGGCTTCCTTTTTGTTTTATTGATGGTTTCCTTTGTTGCGGAAAAAACTTTTAAGTTTGATGTAATCCCATATGTTCATTTTTACTTCCCTTGCCTGCGGGGATGTATGAGTAAAAATATTGCTCAGGGTAATGTCTGCAAATTTAGACCCTACATTTTCTTCTAGGAGTTTTATGTCTTTAATCCATTTTGAATTTATTCCTGTATATGGCATAAGGAGGTGGTCCAGTTTCATTTTTTTGCCTGTGTCAGTCCAGTTTTCCCAAACCATTTAAATAGACTGTCTTTACCCCAATGTAAATTCTTGCTTCCATTGTCATAGACTAACTGCCCATATATGCCTGGATTTAATTCTGGGCTCTCTATTCTGTTCCATTGATCTATGTGCCTTTTTTTATGCCAGTACCATACTGTTTTGATTACTGTAGCCTTGTAGTACGTTTTAANGGGAACAGACAAGTTGCTGTCCTTTTGTTCTTCAGTCTAGTTGTGGAGGACATTGCTTCACTGGCCCATGTTGGTATTATCATTGTGCTTTTCCCAGGTGAGGCAGATTGGTCACCGGCCTCTGGATGGCCGCTCACGGCGACTCTTGGCAGCTCACACCGGCTGCCGGCCGCTCACGCTGGCTGCTGGCCACACACAATAGCTCAGGGCAGCCCACTGCAGCAGGGGCTGCAGCCTATGCCGTTGCCGGTGACTCATGCAGCCCAGCTCCAGGTCGAGCTGTTGTTCACCGCCTTAGCTGCAGAGGGCAGTGTCACTGGCCCTCATGTGGGATCCAAACCGGGGCCCTGCTGCTCAGAGCTGGCGTCTTAACCAACGCGCCACTTGGCTGGCCCATGAACAGTTTTGAAAACTGGATTTGACATTATTTTAGATGCTACAGAAATGAGAATGTTCCTGACTCCTTGCCTATCAACCATAGGAAGATTCCTCTTAGAAAATCATCCTTCCAGAAAATGATTTCCTTTATTTATTAGCTCAGTTAAGATCTATGTATGTCTCCCATAGCCCCCACCCCCTGCAATACTTCTGGAGCTGTTCCCATAGCTGAGAGTTCCATAGCCTTCAGGTTACCATCCATTTTAAGATTCTTGTCTTGAGCATTAGTTGAGGAACCTTAAGTAGAATGCCACCTTATATAGCCTATCTCAGGCCATCCTTTTATCAACCTTTCTCTTCAGATGTGTCAAAAATAGATGCTTTCTTTATAGAATGCAAAGTTCATCTATGACTCAGATGAATCCATAAACATTTTAAAGGTTCCCACAGAGAAACCATTGCACATAAATACCATTACAGAAGGCCATCCAGGGTTTTAAGGCTAATTTGCAGGTGATAAGCCCATGTTGTGAAAATGTATATAATCTGAATACAGTGTTCACAGATGGTGGCTCTCTCAGACACTGTCCTTTGAGCTCAGAACCCAGAGTGGAACGTATTGTTTAGATCTCTGAAGCACACTATGCCTGAATATACACTTCTTTTCTGGAAAAGAGTGTAGAAAAGTAGTAAATTCACCAACACATTACAGGGGGCTATTACCTGTTGGTTTTTAAGGTCTTCAAGGGGTGGTGGAAAATACTTTGGGGAGTCAAATTACACTTAAATAATATTTGTTGACTTTCCCTGTTATGTTTTTTACCTTAAACATCCTTCTCATAGATTTTCATTTAATGATTTCCAAAGTGGTAATAACATTTTATCATCTTAGTGGGAAAGTATTCTAATAGCATTATTTTGCCATATGGAGGTATAGAGAGCTCCTAGGCAATGAGTTGTTATCCTTGTTAGTAATCAGACCTATTATTATTATAAGAGTACAGGACAATTTGTTCAGTTAGGAATGTAGATAGAATTCTGTAACTCATTAGTTTTTAATAGAGGGAGCAAGTGATAATGGCATTATTAAGAAACATAATCCAACGCTTTTCCTTTTCCCTGTAGGTACATGGCTAGCACCTGGACACCGTCTGTACCTTACCCAGGATTCTACAATTTTCTCATGGTGAATTCTTGATGGATCTGACTCTTGGTTGCTGGCAACGCCTGGACGGGAGAAATGGCTACTATCAGACTTGGGTTTAGAAGGCAGAATTTTTGTCTGTTCAAGAGGAGTTTTTTGCTGTTGAAACTCATAGCTGTTGTCTTTGCCGTGCTTCTGTTTTGTGAATTTTTAATCTATTACTTAGTAATCTTTCGGTGTAATTGGCCTGAGTTGAAAACTCCAGCCTATGATGGTGAACAAGAGACTCTTGAACCTGTGCTGAAAGCCATGTTTTTGGCTGATACCCACTTGCTTGGGGAAGTAAGAGGTCACTGGCTAGACAAATTACGAAGGTAGGAGCTAAAATCAGGAATCTTTCTGAAATTCTGTAGGCAAAAGGTATAGTCCTTTCCTGACAGGTCAGGCTTAATTATCCCTTAATGGCTTCAGGCTTAATTATTTTCTTCTCAAAGAAGGACATATGGGGCATTTAACTTTTCCTTGAACTTATTATTTACTGAACATCTGTATATACAAAGGCTCAGAATTTGGAAGGTAGGTCTGGGTTTGAGTCTCGTGACTTTGGAAAAGTTACTAAGGCCCTCTGAGCATGTCTCTGCCAACTTGTTTGTAACTGGGTTAATATGAGAAACTCCATAGGCTGTGTGAAGCAATTCCCACAACAACGCCCATCACATGGCCATGGTCAGCGAAGGTAGGTTTTCTTTTCCCCTGGGCGGGGAGGACACAGAGCTGGGTTGGTGGTCCCCTCTCACAGTCACCGGTGTGTAATTTTGAGCTCACTTGGTTTTTGCCCACTCTGGGCAGCAGGAGGAACAGGGCAGATTTGTGTTTGTCTCCCTGGGGAGAGGATTAGGTCCTGTCTTTCCAATTTAGACCTGCCCAGTGCAATATGTCTGTTTTTCCACCAGAAGGTTTTTCTAAAAATTTAATTGTGAAATACACGTAGCATAAGTTAACATCTTAAACATTTTTATATAGATGTATTGTAATTGTCTTTTTGTGACTAGCTTACTTCACTTAGCATAATGTCTTCGAGGTTCACCATGCTGTAGCCTGTGTCAGAATTTCCTTCCTGGGTCGGCTGAGTGGCTCAGTTGGTTAAGAGCTTGCTCAAGAGTGCAAGCTCTGAGCAACAGTGGTTTGATTCCTGCCCGAGCTGAGCTGCCAACAGGTGGCAGAATGGCTCAGCTAAAAAA